ATTGGGGGGGTTCAGGCGATGGGGGCACTGCAGTGGGCGCAGCACAGTGCAGGCAGGGGGGTGGTGTGGGCAGCCCCAGGAAGGCGCGGGGCACTGCTGGCGGGGTTTATCGTTTTAATCACTGGAAAGGCAGGCAGTCCGGGGTGGAGGCGAGCTGGGAGCCGGCCTCAAGCAGCTCCAGAGGCGGGGGGGGGAGGAGGGGAGGCGGGGAGGCCCCGCGGCCGCAATGGCAAGCGGTGCCAGTGGGGAGCACGGGGAGCCGGGCGGCACAGCGAGCCCAGCTGCAGTGGTCGAGCTGGGCGGCAGGAGCCAGGTGCACCACGCTGCGGCAGCTCACTTTGCAAAGGGCAGCACGGGGTGGCAGTGGGCTGGCGGCAGTGGGATGGGGACTACGGGTGCCTGGGTCGGTGACGGGGGCTCCTCCAGGTCAGGCTACGTGGCTGTCCGCGGCGGGAGGAGGGTGCTGAGGTGTGTCCTGGTCCCTGCTGGGACCTGCCGGCCTCCTCCCGCCACGAAGAGCTGGGGTGCGGCGTGGCGTGGCTAGTGCTTGGCTATGTCCCCCTTCTTGAGGATGATCTGCCTCTGCCAGGGTGCCAGCTTTGTCTCATCGTACCCAAGAGTCCTTAGCTTTTCCGACTGCTCCTTCTCCTTCTCCTCCTCCTCCCGCTTCAGCTTCTCCTGCTCTTTCCTGCTTGGCAGCGGAGGGCACGGGGCGCCGTGGTCACCGGAGCCGCCGGAGCCACCGTGCCCGCCCGCCCCCCCCCCCCCGCGCGGGGCCCGCAAGCACTCACCGTTTCTGCTCCCTGTGAAGGCAAAGGGAAGAGCGGGGTTAGTGGAGCCATGGGGGTGGCCGGCCAGTATGGCATCCCCCAGCCCCGGCTCACCTCTCCTCCTCCAGCTTCTTGCGCAGAATGTCCCTCCTCCAGGCTGGCATGCTGGCCAGGCGCGCCTCCTCCTCCTTCTCCTGCAACAGACAGCCACGTTACCGGCACTACCGGGAGCCCATCCTCACCGCTGGCACCGGGGGGCAGCGGCATTGCCCAAGCGCATGGTACCACATCCCGCTGGTGGCCAGGCTGAGCCACGCTCCCAGCCAGCACGCGGCTTACTGACGTCGCCCGCCTTCTGCCGGCGCAGGGAGGAGGAAGGAGTGTGCAGCGCGGCCAGCCCTTCGCAGCACACCACAGCTTTATTGCACTGACACGTGGGGGGCCCACACTGCCCCGGCACCGCAAACACCACGCCAGAGGGGAGCACAGCCCCGGCACTGCAGCCCCCGCACAACACACAGCCACGGCAAGCGGCACACCGCAACCTCTGCCCGGGTCCACGAGAACCAACACCAAGCCCTCCACTGAGCCAAGCCGCGGCACTGCCAGAGCCGCAGAGGCGGCTGAGCACACCCGGGCACCGGGTCCTGTTGTCCCCAGCTGTCCCCAGCGCCTGCTCCCGGCCAGCCCCATGCCACACCGCTGGCACAGCCCGCAGCATCCTGCTGGGCTCAGGTGTCGGACATGTCCACCTCCTTCTCCTTCCAGAAGGAGAAGCTGCGGTCGATGAAGTGGCAGACATCCTCCTCGCTGAACTCGCCCAGCTCCGGCACCAGCACTACTGCCCCCTCCCCTCCCGGGGCCATGGTGGGGGGCTCCGGCGGGCTCTCCGCCACCATGGTGGGGTCGTCCCCGAAAAACTCCTGCATGAGGTCCTCAAAGCCGTCAAGCCAGCAGCAGTGGCCAGCCTCGACCCGCTCCAGCGCGGCACGGTGGAAGCGGCGGACGCGATGCCAGCTGTGGCTGCCCAGGCGGTTGAACATCTCGTAGCAGAGGAGGTGGCGGAACCGCCGTTCCTCGGGGCTGAGTGGCATCTCCAGCAGCTGGAAGTAGCCCAACATGAAGAGGTCGAGCGGGAGGCTGTCGTGGGGCATGGGCGAGCCGCCGACACGGGGCAGGAAGTGCTGAGGCCAGTACAGCACTGCAGTGCGGCTCAGCCGCCGGATCTGCCGCCCTGGCACCCGGCGGGCAACGCTCCTCCAGCGGGCCAGCAGCCGCCCTGCCGCCGGCCGCCGCCTCCCTGGGCG